CCATGAGCCTAAAAATGAGGTGAAAAGTTTAGTTTAATTCCACCTATAGTGTCCAGTGACGAAACGGCAACGTCGATGAAACCTACAAGGACTTCGTGAATGGCGTCATTTCTTCGGTACAAAATATAGTTGCGTTCAGGAATAGGATAGCCAAACTGTCACGGGTTACAAAAAACACCGAAGTTTTCAGAGGGTAGAGGAACCAAGCTAAGAATGGCATTTGAGACACTCTGAAATGCTGCTCATCGCCGATTCATTCGTTTTGTCAATCAGAGCTACAGGTGAGACATGGAACTTTGCCTAAAGCGTGAAATCGGGAAGATCAATAAGGCAGTCAGAAAGGATGAGTGGCGAACGGTGTTCCCAGCAGTACAACAGCTGTTTGGAAATCAGAGAACTAATTCCACCTTTATTCATGATTTTAAGGGTGTCCCATTTGCAAAAGAGAAGGAATATCTTAAAAATGGGCTAAGCATTTCGAAAGCCGCTTTGCCACTGACCTCCGCAGCTTAACGGCCTTGCCATTCCCACCGTTAATTTCCATCGAAACTACTGATCATCGTAAATCCAATACAAAGCTAGAAATTCGAAAGGCTTTGCCGTACCTCAAAGTTTAAAAACTACGGTGTGGATTAAATCTCCTGCAGTTAATCATATATGACGAAGGGGCAGTATTGGAAAAGCTCCACACCATATTTAATAAAACGTAAACTTCAAATTGTTACCTTGAAAAATGTAAGTATGGTGTAATTCTTTCCGTCTGGGAAAGAATTTGCCTAATTCTGGGAAAGTGCTTTTTTGGATTATCTTGGAAAGGTTGAGGAGGGCAATTAATAGAAGACTCGGCGGGTGTCAAGCAGGCTTCCGAATTGGGTATTCATGTGCTGACTAAATCATACCCTTCGTAGGATCTTGGAGCAACGCTGACGGTTACACTTGCCTCGATTTGCCAGTTTCCCCGACTGTAGGACTCCTTTGGAGCCACGGCGCTGTACAGTATTCCTCTGTTGGGTGCACGGCGGCGAGGGCTGCTTTTCGCAGGCTGCGAGTGTCAGATCGCCAGCTTGTTCCGGCAAATTTCTGAACGATACTGTCCAGAACCTTGGTCTCAGCACAGGTCGTTGGGAGGTGTTTTCAGAACGTAAAGCTGCGGTCAAAGGACTCT